ACAGCTGCAGTAATATCGGGGCGAGTGCCGTTTGAAATCCAGAGCAGAGACCCGATTGCCCATCTCATGATCGTGGTTTGCTCCATCATCAAATCGTCGTCGAATGCGGTCGATGGGTCCATGGGCGTGCTGACAGGCCTGCATTCGGCCATCCCCATTTCGCGGAGGAGTTCTTCGATCGTGTCGTGCTGGTGAAGCAGTATGCCGTCGTTGGTGTGCTCAATACTGATACCAAGACATTTAGCAGCCACTCCCATGTCCTTAATGTCGAACTTGATGCCGAGTTGTCGCATTACCCAGTCACTATCAGCATCAACTTCACTGACGATAATCACATCGTCTACATAGAGACCCAGCAAGGTCAGCTTGCCATTGTAGCGACGAAAGTAGAGACATGGGTCCATCTTGCTTCTAGTGAAGCCAAGCGACAGTAGAAACGCGTTCATCTCCCGGTTCCAAAGCAACCCGCTCTGCTTGAGACCATACAGTGACTTGAGCAATAGCCACGCTGTGCCGTTCGCTACTGGGGTGCCTTTGGGTGGCTTCATCAGGATTGGGCGGTCTAGTGTAGCCTTGACATACGCGTTCGGGACATCGCCCTGACGCAACCGACGCTTCCATAGAGCCGCAAGCGCCACGAGTAGACGAAGACTGGTGATCTTGAGTACTGGAGAATAGGTCTGGTCAAAATCAATCCCATATCGCTGCGTAAAACCTCTTGCAGCTAATCGAGCTTTAAAGCGCTCGAGTTCACCTCGGTTGTTGAACTTAATGCGAAATACCCACTTCGCCGATATCATGTTTGCTCCTGCTGGAGCTCGCACAACCTCCCATGTACCATTCGCTTGAAGGTCAGCTAGCTCCTTCTCGATTGCTGCCTTTCATTCAGGCCACTCAGGCGTCGCCATGGCTTCTGTTAGATTTCTGGGGGTAATCATCTTAGTTATTGCGGTTGTTAACAGGCTGGCTGAACCGGCAACTTCCGTTATCAAGTCATGGGGCAATGAGAAGTCTGCGGTCCTTGACTTCTTGCGCGTACCAAAAACACGACGAATGGCTGCTGCGCTGACGGGAGTGCCAGCGTACTCGTCTTCACCACTGTCGCTTGCAGCGTCGATCGAATTTTGCTTCTTGCGCTTCTGGTTCTGTGAGCCATCCCGACTTTTGGAGAACGGAGAGGGGGACTTGAATTATCGAGTTCGTCAGCGCCGCTCGGACCTTGATCACCAGCTTGATTGGCTGGATTTTCGTCGTATTTCTTCTTTGTAGGATCAAAGGCGTCAGTACTACCTTCGGCGCCTGACTCACCATGTAGCTCCGCTAGCGTTGTTCTAGCCTCATTATCACCCACATCGAGCTTGTCTACGTTCTGGACATCCGCGCTCACGACGATCTTCTTCGTCCGTGGGATGAGAATCCGATAGCCCTTCTGCTGTTCACTGACGCCAATTACTATGCCCTTTTCAGCTCGTTTCTTGAGTGAAGCTCCTGCCTTGTGCGCCACGTGAACAGTACAGCTCGATCCGAATTTTAAAATATGTCCCACCTTGGGTGGTTTGTCCGACAGGTCATGCAGCGGCGCTTTGAATTCTGCGTTTGCTCGGGTTGGAAGATGATTTCTGATGTAGGAGGCGTATCTGGCAGCATCACCTTAATAACGCTCGGGAAACTTTGACGCCCACAGCATGGCACGACCGGCGTTCATGATTGTCCTGTGCATCCTTTCCACTTTGCCGTTCGAGGCCGAGCTGTCTGGAAGTGTTAGTTGCTGCTTTATGCCGTGTCGTTTGAGGAACGCGACAAACTCTCGCCCTTGAAACTCTCCACCTCCGTCTGTGCGAACAACTTTCACAGTGACGCCGTACTGGCGCTGTAATTCCGGCACAAAATTCATCACATGCTCAGCTGCCTCGTTCTTCGACTGGAGAAGGTACACACGATTAAAGCTTGACCCGTAGTCAACAATAGTGAGTAGGTGCTTGTTACCGTTTCGATCTGGATTCATGTCCGTCTTTAAATCGATCCCAAGGACAGCACCAATTTCATCCGTCGGCGCTGATGTCGACGTATCTGCTGTCGGCTGTGCACTCTTCGTCTGTTTAGCTTCTGCACAGGTCAAACAAAAACGGAGTTTCTTCGACAGTACCTCCATGTCGCTCGTTAAGCCCTTCGAATGCATGCAAAGCAGATCTTGAAAATTTACGTGGCCGAGCCGCTCGTGCCACTGCTGTAGTGTGGTCCTTGATATACCCACAAACATGGCCGCCGCGTCTTCATGGTTCTTGACGGTCTCGCCGTTCAGAATCCACAGCTTCCCTTGGCGCGCTGCGACAGCCACGCAAGTGCCGTAGCTGTTGATAAGGCGGCACTGCGTTCTGCTAAATGTACTTGAAAATGCCGGGAATGCGCGGCCTCCACCCCCCTCGGTTAACGCAGAAAAAAATTTCTCTCAGTCTCAGAAACACAAAGTCACTCTCCTGTAAACATGTAGAAAAGTTCTTTCTGTCGCTGGCTCTGGCCGCGCGAGAAAAAAAGCTCTCTCTTGAACACTGGCTTGTAGTAGACCACCATTTGTTCACGGTTATAATATCATTGGAAGTGAAATCCCAAACAGCATATCCGCACTTGAGCACATGTGATGAGACGCACCAGAGTCAACCAGCCAGCTCGTCACTTGTGTTGCATGCCTGTTGGTTACTGACGTGGCCATCCACAGGTCAGCAGACCCGTCTCCATCATCGTCACTCTGGCTGCTTTGCGGCCTCGCCTGGTGCGCCGATCCGTGCTGTTGCTTTTTCGGGCTCGGGCAGTCGGCTTCTCTGTGGCCAGGTTCGTCACAGTTCCAGCAGCGAAACGTTCTTGTGCTCGTATTAGCGTGACCGCTATCCGTCTGCCTCGGGCTCTGGGACTGCTGTTTGCTGCGCTGTCTTTGCTTACTCTGCTGGTTGTGTCCATGTTGCTGCTGCTGACTATGGCCGCGTTGCTGCTGCTGCCATCCCTGTTTCTTCTGACTGTTTCCAGCAGGCGCTCCTTGGTGTTGCTGCTGACGGGGAGGGTTGTTCTTGCCTCCCTGCTTGTTGTGACCGACACGACGACCGTCGCCCTTGAGACGAATCAGAAAGTCAACGACTTTGTTGAGCTCTTCATTGTAGTTGGTGTTCGTCTCATCAACCTTGCTTAGTAAAGTCGATTTTAGGTCGGGACAAGCGTTGTTGCACACTGTTTCTAGCAGTAATTGTGAGCGGTCACCTTCCATGAGCCGCTCGATGAACTTTAAATAGCTGACATATTCTTTCCAAGTATCACCTGCGCGCTTGGTGGTATCCAGTCGTTTTCCAAGCTCGTACTGGCTTAGACGACAACCAAATTCCTTCATAAGGTGTGCGGTCAGCACCTCGTAGCTGACATCACTGGTGCCTGCCAACTCATGATATGCACGAGCAGCTTGATCTTCCAAGAAAGTGCCCAGCACAGAAGCCCTTAGCTCGCTTGACCACTGTGACTTATTTAGCAGCACTTTCCATGCGCACCGCGCTCTCAAATTCGTTCAGGAGTCCTCGATCCGGCTCCGAGTCCTGGATACTTTTCAACACCAGTAAAGCGTCGACAGTGTATGTCTTTCAGCTTCGGCGGCCTGTGAGCGCTGTGAGTCACTGTCGCTGTGACCGGTGGGCTCTCGGTGGTCTGCTCCATTGATTGAGAGG